AGTTTAATGATATAAGATATATAATGTAAAATAATTTAAGATTTTTTAATAGGGAAACTGTAAATATCATTAACCACTTCACTGTTTAAGATAAGTTTATTGGTTCGTAAATAAAGACTATTCATTCAAACAACGATTGCAAATTTAAACGCAATATTAATTTATCAATTAATTAGTTAAATTAGTAGGCACGACGTTCCGTAGCTTTAATTAAGCAGTCGTGGTCACAAGGGGACTGAATATGTAGGGTTGTAACAATGTAATATTAAAGGCAAATTTGCTACGCTAGGGCCATCTGTTGACTTTTGACACTAGGATCCACCTCTATTTTCAGTCCCCCGTGACTACGACTGCTGTAAAGCATCCAGAACATCGTATTGGAGTTAAAATAAATTATAAATATGTGTGTACTTTTCGCGGAAACCACAGACAATACTTAAGTATTGGTTCTTTACAGGGCTGTTCGTTTTAATTTTGCATATATATTTATTTTAAGAACATAAACGCTCGCTAACCATCGTAGTTGAAATCTGTTATAAATTATTACAGAATACTTGTGTAATTAATAGTAACACTGGCATCGAGATTGATTTATAGGCATTTAACTACCAAAGATATTGCGCATCGTTAAATAGTGTTGTGAAATTATTTGTGAAAAATTCAAGCACTAATGGTCAAGATAATTCACCTTCATAAATATATTTTAAACAAATTGGAATTTTAAGAGGGCTTTATCAGTTTCCAATTTGACAAAACAAATATTGATAACATTGACATAAATACGTTACTCTTAAGAAGCTCCAGTTTATTTACTTATTGTGCTTTCTTGATGTGTAATGTATGGAACTAAAAAATCTATATAGGTATGCGTCAAACAACAAGTATTTACATTTATGATAGGAGGAGGATAGACTAGCATGTGATTCACTAGATGAAACCCTCTAGCAATTAATAGGGTATTATTTCTTGTCTTTGGACATTCAGATCCTCAGATAGAATTCAGAAACCGATACGAGATTGAATTTTATGGCTTGTTTTATCTGCCAGAAATTATTCTTGGTAAAAAAGACATACTAAAGAGTATAAATAATTTTCTGATAGGTTTTTGATATTATATACTGAAAAGGTAGGATACACATTATTTTCTATATTTTTCAAATTGACTTACGTAATTTTACATTAAATATTGTTTCGACAATACAAGCTTTTTAACTACCAAATTCTCTTCACAATTATAGCATAATAGTGATTTAACTATCAACGAGATGAAGTGTTTGAAAGCAAAGAGAAATAAACAATAATTTGGCAACACTCATAAATCTGTTTGCACGTGTTTTGATATCAGACATTAGGTAAACGTTTCGTACAGGGCAATATTATATACACTTATAAGTCTCGTAATTAATTTTAAACGAATTTGCTGTTACGTAAAACAGTATTCTAAGTAATAAGTAAATTAAAAGAAACTGAGTTAACTCCAATACTAGAATATCTTATGTTAAAGTTAAAAGTAAAATTATGTGAATATTTCTCGATGTTCGCATTTTTAAAGTATGGATTAAGTTTCTTCTAGCAACAAGCAACTGGACAAACTTTGTGCTCAGTAAAAGTATTCTCCTAACTTTAACTTGATTGTACAATTAGGGCGTTAGTAAATTTTTAATATTGAGTTTGTATTGGTAGTTAATTAAATTGATACTAGATAAATAAAGATGGCATTTTAGTGAATTTTATATTTTTATTTTCATAATTCTCGTCTAGACTGTTTGTCTTATCATAATATCAAACCTAGCAATTTTTTCATGTTACTGATAATTTGATTGTAAAGCGTGATGAAAACGCACTTTATTTATAATATTTATCTAAGGAATTTTATCATTGTTCGAAATATTTTTAATGCGCCTTTCGATCTACACGAGTACAATTATGTAGTATAATAATAACAGTTTATTGCGTTCGGTGGAAAGTTTTGCGCTACTTTATTCAGTAACCTTTACCATAGCTTACTTATTTATTAATTTTATACTTTGGTACACAACATACTCAGATTTAACTTGGAAATTTACCCTACGTTAAAGGCGATTTCTTCCACGTAACGCAGCTAAGCTTACTTAACAGACCCCAATTCCACCACGAAAAATTTTTGTTGATTAATGTTGACCAACTGTTAAACGAGTGTTTTAGATAGCGTTGAGATCAAAATTAGATGGCAATTAACTATCGTAGTGGTTTACAACTTTTTGGCCTAATTGGATTCGAAGATTTTTTCTAAACTCACATAAAATAGTCTTGTAATATTATACATAGGTACTCTGGCTTCAATTATTCTAGAAAGATATTGGTAATATAGACGAAACGAAGTATTTATTTGGACAGAACCCTGGAAATATGATAGATAAGTTATGTAATGGGCGATGCAGCGAAACAATGATTGATATAAGTCGATTTAAGAATTACTCCCATTAACTATGTTCTTGACATTGACCGCCCCGTTAACGTTATTATTTGTAGTTTTAACCGGTATCGTCCAGACGCTTTGCACCTGGGACTAATAGTATTGGCGAGCTCTGACCAAATCGAGATTTATTCATAAGGAAATATTGGTACCAACCGAAAAGTTAACGAAATTTGTTGTAACCCGCAAATAATACAAACTTTGAACTTTGCGTATTATAAGTAGACTGTTCACTTACGATGCCTTTTCTAAATTAAAAAAAATGATAACTTTTCTTGGTTGTTTTTATATTCATGTGAATGTATTAAATCAAGTACTGTAAACACGTGTAATTTATAATTACATAATTAATATTTTCTATGTATATAAAATAATTGAATTTCCTTTTCAAGTAATGTTAGAATTTTTACGATTAATATAAAAATAAGTTGGTATTATTAATTTTTCATACTTTAGTACGCCCACTGGTGTCAACTGTGTGCAACTAGCTCAAACAAAGTTTATGCAAACTACAGGAAATATGCAGCGGTTTTTAATGGCCGTCGCCACTAGTCCGTGTGCATAGAGCCTAACAACCATTACCGAACAATAATAATTCTCTAGATCGTTTGAGAAGTATCGTATTACTTTTATTTCACAATAATAAAGCAGTTTGAAATAATACTTTAGCCACATTGTTACTTTTATGGAGCAAGAGATATTCTTAGGAAGTCCCATAAAACACTACGTTAGGCCATGGCGCACTATAAAACCTAATAATCATTATGTTGCTACAAATATCAAATTACAAGCTTTATAACTTTCTACGCAAATATCGAAAACCGGCCAAGCGCAAGTCGTATTCACGCGACGTGTTCAGTATCATTATTTTTACACTTGTAAAACAATACATACTGTTATCGAAAGATTTAGCTGTTCGAAGTCTCTTAAGTTAAGAAAAAAAGGAAGCACCTAAGGAAAAAGTTTCCCTGATCGATTTAGTAATGTCCTTTTCTATCTTAGTTATATAAACTACATACAGATGATATAAAATCATTTATATCATTCATCGTACGTATAATATGTAAAAAATTTTAATATACGGATTTATGATATTTAGTCGTTGTTTCTTGTGACAGTTTCAACTGCAACTAGACTACACTATTTTGTGTGTGTGTGAGATTTGTTTGATGTTTTTCGTAGTCTAGAAAAGGTTGATTAAGCGAGAGTGAGGGAGGGGACACAACCTTTTTTCAGTTTGACTATCTTGTCTACTTTCTTGTGAACCGTCTTGTATACTTGGTTCAATCGAATTGCAACACGCTTTGGAATTTACCTAGGATGTACAACGGGTCCTCTAGTTTTTAAATAAATATGTAAACGCTTGACTTATGGACGTAACAACTAGCATACAAGGGTCAATGCCATCGCTATTGTTTAGCAGTACTATTACTATTAAGATATAGTATACCAAATACATAAAAGTAGTAGTAAATTATATGCTGATAACGAATTGTCTATCAGCAACATGTACTATGTTACAAAGAAGATCGGTAAAACCTATTTATTTAATAGTTTTTGTCTTAAACAAAAGTATACAAAATGTAATAATGTATACAAAAACACACTTTTTGGATACATTAATTGTCACTAGTTCGTTTATTAGATTTAAATTAATAGGTCGATAGCGCATTTTGTTTAGATATTATATACTACACCTCCCATCTTTAAGCAAACCCCACATATTATGTTCTCTTCTAACTTCGCTACTTTGTACTTGTATGCTAGGCTACACACACGAGTACCTTTTCTAACATTTAATTGGCTAAACCGTCTTTTTCGTAACAGTCGCAAGCCGCGGCACATTTGTTTTAATTTCAATGACTATACGTTAAATAGTTCACACAGGGCCAGTATTTAAATATTGTAATTTTATGATAATACACTGTCTGGCATCGGCATTGTAATGTTATAAATTAGCAATTGAACGACTTAGGTGATTAGCTCTGGGTGGCCTTACGTGTTCCCTAACAATTTATGGGGCATATATTTACTCGTATTCTTACAATAATATTATGTTGCTCGGGTGTATATGAACATCATTCACCACTAACGACGTTGACTGTATTATATTTAAAGAGTAATATTTAAATAATTCGATGGAACGGGCGATTCTGAACCTACAGGTAGATATGGATGTTTAATTTATGGTTTAAGAAATAAGTATATAACACAATTTAAACTATCTGAATTGTCTTAAAACATGTCTCAGAGGTTGTTTTAGACAAGAGGCAAATATAAAAGTTTAATCTGTACAAACATAATTTAATATTAAATAAACCGTATTAATTTCCCTACAGAAAGAATAAACTATTACAAAAGGGCAGGTAGCCTGTTTACGAAATACGTGCACCTAATCGAATTTAAATCGAATATATTTTGCAATCAAATCAAATTTATAAGATATCAATTCGATTAAATATTGATCAAACCGATTTGAATATAAATTAAGACGCCATGCCGCCGATAGAAATTACATATACAGAATCTACGTTATGGAACTCACCATTTTAATTGCCATAAGCAAAAGTATTGTAATCCCACAGTTTGAATAACTCATCCATAAAATTGGAGGCGCCCACTTCCGTGCTTTCAGTATTCATAAACCACTTTTATTCAAACACATCTCCACGCGTTATCGAATAGTACGACATAGTATTAAACTGATTTTCTATTTGTCTAAGAGATGCGCGCGCGCACCCTGCCAGCCGCTGATGTTCTTTCAGACGTGCAAGACAACATTCATGGTTCAATGCCTGCGAGAGACTGCCACTACATCGACACCGAGGCTCGAAATCGTAGATCGTAATACATTATTGCTAATGTTTGACGAAGATTTTTCGCTTATGAATCTGTAATGTACTTAAACTTTCTTTGCATATATGTAATTAAAGAAAATTAAATAATGACACTATTTGATAATTGGCCGAATAATAAAAAAAATGGTGGAGCAAGCCCGATGTTAAAAATTAAACGTTTAAAAATAATAATTAAGAATGAATCACTGAATACCTCTATAAAGTGATGAAACTATAAAATTAACACATTAGCCATTATAAAGTAATTATTTTAATTGGAGCAAACGTCATAACACGATAGTATTTTGTGTGTGTGTATAGTCTAAGAGTCAAGATACCGACTATTTCGGCAGTTTTTTCGGTTTTATTTCTAGAATAGAATGCTAGACCGAAAATTGCACGGGCGCAGAGATTTTCGACTTAAAATTGCAAAAAGTTAAATAATAATAATAATAAACACGTATATTTAGAATAGGCTCAGCGTATTGTTTAGGGTCGAGTCCGGTTCGGTTCTTTTTAAATCGAATACTTTTATAGGTTTAAAACGCAAAATATATCATTGTACTAAGTAATTCTACAGAAAATATGCATAACGTTGGGCCGTAGTTAAAATAAGTTAACATTAAAATATATTTATCGTTCTAAACCTTATTTTATTTAAATGCGGACTACTCGCGTAAACTAAAGACAACACTCGAATATAAATTATCAAGTTAAAAGGATAACAATTCATATGTACAGCATCTCTTAAACATTAGGAAAATTAGAACAGCCCACCGGCATCTTGGCTTATCAGCGAACTCATTTGGCTAAGGTTCCGATCAGGTTTGTCTAGAAAGGATTCGATTTTATCTGAGGTTATAAAACAACCCGCATTCGTACACTTTACGACATCCACTCGGTCTACAAAAGCTCGCTGATTTCATATTGATTTATGGTAAGCTGTAGTAGGAATTGTTCTTGTACACAGTTGATTACTACTACTTTGTAGTTAACCTTTTATGTAAGCATGCAGCTGCTGAATTAAAATTGCGCACGAGTACTATTGTTATATATAGCAAAAGGAAAAATTATTGGACAGTAGAAATAGAGCTAAGCCCCTTTTTTCCTCTAAGGATAAGAGATCTCGACCCTAACATTCAATGTGCTATCGCCTTATGTTACTTAGGTATTGTCAGTTTATTTAACAGTTGGTTCTCCTAATTTTGATTTGTCTTCTGCTATAGGTACGTTTCTGGGAATGCCTTGAGGATTTAATAGTTTTCGCAGAATAAGCTCTTAAGATATAACAAGTTTAATTTCTAGGGTTGAAGAGAACATCTCTTCTAGTGCTCATAATTATTTGGATCGAAGATGATTAAAGGGTGTTGCCATGAATATTGAAGCTTAAAGTATTAAATAATAAATATATATAAAATAGTAAAGTGTTAAAGTTGCCAAATGCTATATAGTCTGTTATAATTATTTTCTATTGGGGATACCGATAGAAGGCCGACTGCTCAGTCCACTCTAACAGCTGACTATTTTTATTATATATTTCTAGCAACTATCTAGTCTGGCTGTTAACTTTACACAAATATTGTTGGTACGAGGTCCCTAGTTCACTCGTACAGGTTGTACCATCCCCTACCTCCCCCTAAGACCTACCGCGAGCAGAGTGGACAGGGCGCTTGCCATCAGCATAGTAGCGCGTCGCCGGAGGAGGCAGGCGGCCGGCGGACGGGCGCGCGCGAGCCCCTCCCGCCGCCCTCCCGACCTCTACCACCGTCGCACCGACATTCTGCACCTGGAAACCAGGACTGCAATTAGCAACCTTTGAAATTAGTTAGGAAATAACATTTGTCATAAGAAGATACAATCCACTGGCTAAATTCTGTATGTAGATAATATATTATGCGTGTAAAAAAAGAAAAGAAATTCCCAATATTCTAAGTCTAAAAATACCCTCGTTGAGATGTTATTTGGCTGGGCTATTTCACCTTTTATTAAGATCTCCCCATTTCACACAAAGTAACGTCGGGCGTTGTTAAGTTACTTACCTATAAATCATATATTGTTATTTATCACGATTTGCTAGTTAAAATATACAGATTCTAGCTAGCCATACCAACTCTAATAGGATTAAATTGAAGTTTACAGTAATGTAAGCGCTCAACTAAAATGCAGAGTAACAGGCCAATAGCACAAATGCATAAAATATCCGATTTCCACATTCGCGGCTCCAGACGTCTCGAAAGGATGTGCAAAATACATTAAATAAATGCAATTTAATTTAATTGAAAACGAAGTTATGGATAAGTTTATTGGTGTACATAAATAATATATAATTCTACGTTTTCGTTTGACAACTTAATAATTAATTTTAAATAATAATTCTAAGCTGCACAGTAAAAAGACAATTACTTTTGATATCCTGAACCGTTTTCTCAGCGTTACCTTAAAGTGAATAATTTTCCGCGTTTAGTTTTTTTACATTCCCACTGTTTCTTCGTTCATATTCCAAAAGCGATTCTCGATAACTGCTCAAACATTGAGTCATTCGTTCCTGAGTTTAGCGCATTCAAACATACTCTTCATCTTTATAATATTAGTATAGATTACATTGATGCATTAACCAATTACTTTTCCGTATACATTGCAATCCAATGTGATAACAAATTCTAATTTATCAGAACTAAACGGTTCTATAAAATCGTATACTCATCGATGACGTCGTAGGATTATACAAATTCCTCAATATTGCCTTATCTCGGCGCCGCGCAAGAATCACACCTCCCTTTATGTCATTACCGACAAACGTTCATGATTAATATCGCATGCAAATCTAGTCTTTAACAAACGGTAATAAATGCCAGTTCTACATAAATCAATAAATACAGAAGTTATAAAATTTCAGTAGTGTTTTATCGTTGCAATTATTTCGGCGCCACGAATGTTATCTGTTCATTATTAAAATATTTATAAAGTGATTCAGTGTAATGTTCAAAGAAATGGATAACGATTCCGATATCCCAAAGTTAGTTTAGTCTTAGGAGTAGCTGAGGAATTTTAAAAAAGCGACCAAGCGCGGGTTGCAATGGTAAGCGAGGGTTCCGTAATTTAAGGTAGTTTTATTATTTATAAAAACCAGATTTGTTTGATAAAGTTAAGTGGTTTATACAAATCTACATATTTTCCTGCAAGGACTAGTGTTTAGTCGTAGAACAAATGTAGTAGTAGTAGCACATAGGTATCACGCAGTTTGTAGAATAGAGGTTTTTCGTAGAAAAAAACAGAATAAAATGTTCTTGACCCGGGATTTGAAGCCTGGATCTTGTGTTTCAACACTTGTGTAGTTATGTTAAATATTATTATAATAATAGTGAAAATCTGTTTATTTGATTTTACTTACAGGCATATAAATTAATTAGTCTTTTGTCCGACTCGGACGAATAATTTTTTATTTTTCCGGGATTCAAACACAGAACAGTAATATTATAATTAATTGCGTATAAAAAATAACATTGTAGATACATAGACGTAATTCACTTTGATCTTAGGAACCGCTTAAGTAATACATCATATCAATCAACATTTTAATTACATCCTAACCTAGACTTCGTACCCAACGACGTGGGAAATTAATTTTATGTCGAATGTTATGAATTATCTATTTGCAAATAGCTTGGACGAAAGTATATTTGCTCATTTTAAACTTTACTTTTTCGACGGGCTGTTTTGTCTTATAGTAATATAATGTATTTTTTTCTGAAACATTGTGGACTTCGTCTGGAATTATGGATATTAATGGGTGGTAGGATGATAGAAATTCCGTGCGGTCGCGAAGGACCATCCACAGATGCAAAGGCCGTGACTTAATCGCGTTTCGGTTTCAGTCTGTGAATTTCCGAATATCCAAAGTTAAAATAAGTCGACAGCGCATCTTGTTTAGATGGTATAAGCTGGAGTATATCACCTACCATGCAAGTAAGCCCCCTGTCCTCCTCTATCATTAAAAAAAATGATTTTTTATACATTTATTCCGATCACAGTACGATGTAGTCAAATCTAAGTGTTTTGAATCCAAATAAATATTCACTTAATACCAACAATATTTAATTAAAACATCCATGGTCTCGGGGGGACGAGTTTTAAACCGTTAAAAGTGTTCTATATCAATGTATACTCGCATAAGCAACAGACGATATTTGTTTGTGGGACAGTATTGTTTAGGAAATATTTGATTAATATAATTTTAAAAGTATATATTTTGTTTTTATAGTATTTATTATTTTTCATTGGTCGTATTCGTTGCGATGGTATCTGCGAATAAACCAATAGCATTCCATACATTCATACATAATAATGGAATTATGCAAATCAGGAAATTACAAAACCATTGAGAACACATAAAATGATGAATATTAATTCGAAATAACCAATCAGTGAATTACAACAACAATTATAAGGTCCGAACGGGTATTAGCATGTTATTATGATTATTTATAGCTTATAGAAATAATTTAAAGGTATTTTATATGCGCCGTTTAAAGCCACTAGTTTGTTAGCGTGGTTATGTTATTTCCACGCGAATCCAGCAATTTAAGATAGAGCACCATGTTTTTAGCAAACAACAACAAGTGAATTAGGAGTTCGAAAGAGAAAGATAAAAAAGATTTTTAACTTCGAAAAACCCATTTTCAAATTAGTTTAACTATCGCGTTTTAAAACTTTAAAGTGTTTTATTTAAATGTGTACTACTCGCGTAAACTATAGACAGTATTTAAATTAAGAGTTACTTGAATAAAACACTTTGAACAGTTCAAAACTAAAACTTTGAAGTATATTAGTTTTATGTATTTACATGTTTTTACAATACCTACATAATTTATCATGCGGTCAAAAGTGGAAGGAATTATGCAAACATGAAATAAATTGTAAAGAAGTAAAATAATTAATTAATATAATCATTGAATTAATCGATTATAAGAAATTAAGTAATATATTTTTTACGTGTTTTATTTAAATGTGTATTGCTCTAGTAAACTGCGATGTAGGATATTAACTTTTTCAAAACCAAGCATTGTTTTTCAAAAAGTAGTTTACATTTTAATAGAACTACATATAATGAAACTACTGGTCTAATAAAATGTAATATTTCAATGCTAATAATGTAATAAGTGTATAAGCACTTAATAAGAAAATTGCTTTACACCCACGGACCTGTTGAATACTGTATAGAACTTCCATTGTATACGACGACTATATTTTCGTAAGGCAGTTTATACACCATGCGACGAAGCGACTCTTCGATTTCGAAATTATAATCATCCAGTAGTTAATACAGCAAAGGTTTGAAGTCGGTCTGGACATTTATAAAATTCCACCATTTTATAGTGCAACATGTTTAGCCACTGTAGTACAGAGATATGCAAACGTGCGAAATCATTTCTGAGAGTTCGAATCCCGGGGAAATAATTGACAGTTTCGGTCAGGCAGGACACAGAAGTATGATCAAGTACTTGCCTGTAAATAAAACCAATCAGTGAAACGGTCATTTTTTATAATATCTTCATTTTTAAAGGATTAATTTACTGGAGAATATTCTATTATCTCTACTACGAGTTTACAGATAAAATTTATAATATTATACTAGTTGTGTCAGTGACTTTTTCCGCATCCCGTTGTTCTTGCAAGATCATTTAACGAGGAATCATTCTTTAATACATAATATGTTATGTGTATCTCGAACCGTCTTCGTAGCGTGCGCTACGAAAACCTACAAGGATGAATATTTTTTCATACTTTCCGCTGTTTCTTCACTCCTATTAGTCGCAGCACGATAGTTTATAATCTATAGCCTTCCTCGACAAATGCTCTAACCAACACTAAAGAATTTTTCATTACAATCCAGCAGATCCCGAGAATAGCGCGTACAAAAAACAAACAAATTCTACACCTATATATTTTAGTATAGATTGATTACTGTACATATATATTAGAAGTGAAGACTTTAATGTTCTTTTGTAGAGCAGAATATGAAATAAGAAACCTTAAAATAAGTACTCGTGTATAACCAGCCTTAGCATTATGCTGAATATACAGCTATGTAGATCATCGGAAGGCGCCGATACAAGATCTATTAGATAAAATCTGAGTGATCTGACAATTTATCGCGGATTCGAAGCGAATGATATACCGGGCATGAATTATTTATTCGCTAAGTATCCGGGATTTTACTGATTAATTTATTCGCTGAAACTTGATTATTTTTAACTCACCAAATAAACTAATATTGTTTGCGAAAGGAACTAGGAATAGATTTACATATCCTAAGCTTTCAAATTAAAGACAAGAACGAGGTGAATGAAGTTAATAGAATTTTATAGCTTTTGTATACTTATTTAAAAAACTAAGCAATTAAATCTTTTGCTAGATGTAAAAACGTGAATATAAATTCACGTTTCTCTCCGTTTAATACAACATAATACAAAGAAAATAATAATAATTACAACAAAACAGATGACGCTATGTGAAACGTCGGGTTCTACTTAAAATAAGTTTATTACAAGTTAAATACTTCACGTTCTAAACAGTTGTGTTTTGTTTAAATGTCCATTAGTCGCGTTAATTGCAGGCAACAATTGCCTAAATTTAAACCGTAAAAAAATATTGTAATTAATAAATATGTTATGAAAAGAATAGCCGTGCTTATTGTAGGACAGTTTTATATTCTTTATATAAAACACGGTAGGCTATATTCTAACGGCATTCGATAGTATGTATAATAATAATTATTAGACACAACGCTATGCTACGTGTTCTAAGAT